AAAAGGATTATTAACTTTTTCCTCTTCTTACTTAGAAGCAGGCTTTAGTAATTTACTACGGAAAAACAAGAAACAGGCTGAATATTTTTGAAAAAGCTCTAAGAATTAAGTTAAGCAATTTTATGGCAAATGTGATAAAAATTTCAATGATACACCAAGCGCAGCCATCACATTAATTAAATTGAAATTTGTGTGTGATTAAAAATCTATGATTCTGTTCCTAAAAGCTTGTTTATATTTGTAAAATTTTAAAAAAATGTGTAAAAATAATGAAACATAAATCTAATAAACCATATTTTTTTAAACCTTTTGTTCTTAGTCTAATTCTTATCTTTTAAGTTATTTATGTACAGTTATTTCTATTATGATTATGTTGTTTGTTATATATTATATAGAAAAGTATAAAGAATTTCACAAAGAAAAACTTTTTTTTTAAAACGGGTCGATACAAAAAAAAAAAAAAAAAAAAAAAAAAAAAAAGGTTAAGTGACGCCGATAAATACAGCATGCAAAATAATCGTAATGTAAATCGTAACTAATCATGATATCAGTAACTTGAAGATAACAGCCGAAGAATATGAATAAAAATTCTGGAAAAAAATTGTTTTTTAGATTTATTTTTCGTTATTTTCTGTATAATTACTTTTTTATTTTCAAATACAAGCAAGTTTTCAGAAGCAAAATCTCAGAATCTAATTGCAGAAAAATTCGATTTTAATAAACGTGACGGCTGTGCTTGAGATTGTAATGAATTTTTTTTTTTTAATATTTGGCATAAAAATTTTTACGTTATCTCTTTGAACAAACTTCGGTATTTGAAAAAACTGTGCTTAGGTATTTTAAACAAACGCTTACGCCTTTGTTTAAAATACCGAAGCACCCGAATTTCGCAAAAATATTCGCCCCGTTTCTTTAAAAAAAAAGAGGCGCAAAGGTTTCAAATGATATCATTTCTAGTACCTAACAAAGGAGCTTCCATCCCCGACTGTATGCTATGTCACCGATAGCCTAAATACAAGTAATTGTAAAAGAACGCCTCTAGAAAATCTAATGAATTGTTGGTGTTGAATAATTTTGGCTATGTTTTGTGATTTTTCTAACCAGCAGTGTTGGGTAACGTAGGGTTTGTATGCTTCCTTTTTCCTAACATTAGCGTCATTTTCTTTACCACGAAATTTTAAAGCTTTCTTAATTTGGCCAATGCAAATTAAACCACACTGGCAAAAAATTCTTTATATATTCTAGAAATTCATACCACGCATGAGGTCCTTAAGTATGGAACTGAAAAATTATTAGCAGAAGGAAAAAACAACCGAAAGTTTAATTTCTGTAAAATATGTGCAATTTTATGGCCCACTGATGAAAAGAAACAAATGACAACATAATTCTTGTAATAAGCTGAAATGACAGTGGCTTTTAGATATGCTAAAGTAAGAATTTTTAAACCGCATGACCAATAACGTTAGGTGGAAAGCCTCTGTCAATAGTAACTGGTTTTAAGTAATTTACTTCTTCATTAAGAACTGTTCTGGAGTAGCAAACATTAAGCGCATTGAAAACGAAGGAAGGAAATGAAGCTGTCATGTGTTTAGTCCAATAACATGATTTCGAATGGGGTGGAAGGCAAACAGATGAAGGCTGACGGTAGAAAGTAAAACTGAAGTTGGCCTACGTTGGATATGAACAAGACGTCGAGAACCGAGAAGAGAATTGATTGTCCCAAGTTCAAAATTGAACTGAGTGGTAGTATCAATGGAATTAATTAAGTACTTCACTTAAATCATCTTTATTAATATCAGATAGGATTAATGTATCGTCAACGTAGCGAAACCACGCAAGGAATTTTAAAATTTCAAAAAATTTTGATTCATAATAAAACATAAAGATATGAATAAGGATAGGCCTAAGAAGGTTTCCCATGGCTAATTTTTCAGTTTGCTTTTAATATTTATTTTGCGAAATAAAATGTTTTTATTTTAGACAGAGATGAATACGGAAAATTAGCTCATCATTTATACAGGAGAAATCAAACTCTCGAAGTACCGTTTCTAGGCATTTAAATGCACCTTTCAGCGGAACATTAGCGAATACATCAAAATGAACCATAATGAAATTTCTAGGGTAAACGCTTTTTACTTTTTTATAAACTCTGTTGTATTTTCTATGCTGCAAAAGTTGTTAACTATCAAAGTCGAAAATCTAGGAGCTACAGTTAGTCAATAAAGTCTGCATACATCAAGAAAAGTAATATAAAATCCAAATTTTTAAGGTGCGAAAAGGGTAGTTTCTTAAAGTTTTATTTTTTAAATATTTAGTTTCAATAAGAGCCTTTGAAATTATTTAACTGTAATATTTTCATATTTAATAATTCATGCACACTAATTTTTGAAAGATAAGTGGCCAGAAATCAAAGCCAATAAAGTTTGCGTACAACGTGAAGGAGGCGGGGGATTTCTTATCTAACTTTTCAACTTCAAATTTGAGAATGCAAAGAAGGTTACACTTTCAAGGTCATTGACCTCCGAAGCAAATTTCACGTTAATTGGAAGTTGCTATTTCTATTTTCTTTGACGAAATTGACAACCAATAAAGAAATTCCTTTAGTTACGAGACAACTAATTATCAAATTGAGAGATGAAGGTAAAACTCTTCGTTATACTGGTAAAACCATTGGAAAACCATTTTCTAGTGTGCAAAGAGTTATTCAAAACTATCTTGACACTGGTAGTCTTGCTGTGAAACCAAGATGTGGGAAACCGAAGAAGCTAACGCAGAGAGAAGAAAGAAAAATTCTTTTACGAATTAAACAAAATCCTAAACTTTCTGCTGCAAGCATTGCAAAAGACATTTTTTTACTATCAATTAGGAAATTTCTCCTGAAACTGAACGAAAAGTGCTGCGAAAGTCCGATTATCATGGACGCAAACCTAGGTCTATGCCATACATTTCCGAGACAAATAGAAAGAAAAGAATTGCTTTTGCCAAAACATATTTAAACTCTTCGCAGGACTTCTGGAACAATGTAATTTGGTCAGATGAAAGTAAATTTACAATATTTAAAGTTAATGGCCACCCTATTGTATGGAGAAAAACCAGGAACAGAACTGAATCTGAGAAATTTAAATCCAACTGTCAAACATGTAGTTGGCGGTGTCATGGTATGGGGTTGTATGTCGTCGAAAGGAATTGGAAATTTTCACATTATAGATAAAGTCATGGATAAGTATGTTTATCTGGATATTCTGAAGAAACATCTACGAGACAGTGCTCGAAATTTAAACCTTTTTAATACCTTTATTTTCCAACAAGATAACGACCCGAAACATACAGCTAAAATTGTGAAGGAATATCTCCTCTATCACACTCCAAGACAGTTGCGTACTCCTCCACAGTCACCAGACCTCAATCCAATCGAACATTTGTGGGCAAAATTGGAGAAACAAATTCGAAAACACAATATTACGTCGCGAAATAAGCTAATTAGTAAATTGCAGGAAGAATGGGCGAAATTTACGTCGGATGACACTGAAAAACTAGTTCAGTCAATGCCCAGACGTCTGCAAGCTGTTTTTGAAGAATAAAGGATATCCTACAAAGTATTGAAGTAATGTAAAAAACTTATATTTTGCTTTTATTTTTGAAAGTGTACGCAGACTTATTGGAGGGAATTTCTGAGTTTTTTTGGACAAAATATATTTTTGAAAAAAATGTAAAATGTATTGCACTGATATTATTTACTTTTTATTTAAGCTTACAATTTTAGCTAATAGAAGAAAAAAATGCAATGATTAAAATACATTTTTCTATGCTTTAAGTGTTTTTTTAATTTAAAATTTAGTCTGTACGCAGATTTTTGTGACTAACTGTAGATATTTAGCTACTGCGTACAAGGCAATGCCTAAATTTTATGCAATAGGGTGGAATGGAATATCACTTTTCTATTGTCCTTCTTTTCTTTCCAACGATTAGTTTTAAAACTGCACGTATTTTACAGAAATTAATCTTTCGGGTTGGTTTTCTCTTTTGTCTAACTCTTTTGTCTCTCTTTTGTCTTTCGGGTCGGTTTTTCTCTTTTGTCTTTTTAGTAGTCTGATGTGTAACTACTGATTCGCTGTGATTCGCTATAAAATTCGCAGTTCCATAGTTAAGGACCCCACTCCTACAGAATATGCAACATGTCTTGCCACTGTGGTTTAATTTACATTGGTCAAACTAAGATATCTTTTATATTTTGCTCTAGGGAAAATGATTCATAGCTTAAAAAAAAGAAAGAAAAACAAATCCTCTTCTGCCCAACACTGTTAGTCAGAAAATCATATTTTTAAACGTTGTTTTGTGCCAACAGTATTTAAAAAACATCTTGGAGAATTAGATTTTCTAGAAGCGTTTCACATGCATAAAAAATCTTTCAGTTCTAGTTAATATCCCAGTTTTAATACGTCTTTCCAATACAGCTTTCGAAAATCTGCGTCCATTCCCTAAACGAAGCCTTTTCACTCTGCGTAAAACCCGAGTAAAGAGCCGGTTGCTTCAGCTTGTCTTTGTACAATAATAGATCGTTTATAAGTAAGTACTCATGAGAGACATCCTTTTCCATCCTCTTTTACGAGTTGTGGCAAGAAAGATCAGTCCTTTAGTAATTCAACGACTTTGTTTGTCTTAACCCTCCGAGTGTTATGAATGTCGTCTTGAAATTTCAAAGTTCCGTAAAATATCATGAATAAGAGTTTTTTCTTTCTTAATAATTGCAAAATGACCCTCTAACTTTATACTCTGATTCCTTTTCTTCCAATATAGTGCGTCCAATTGGTAATCGGTTAGGCTAGGTTCTGACGGAAATTTTCAGGTGTAACCAATTTAAAAGCCCTCTTTCTATAACGAGTTTTACGTTATAGCCCTTCAAGGGTAAATTCACTGTCAGACCTAAGACAAACCAGTTTATTATTGTCATACTAAACACATTTGCAATGTCCATATAAAAATGTGCATTTTTTCCTCAGATTTGTTTTGAACCACTTTCCTGCTGTAGTTGAAACAAGCGAAGAATTTTTCGAGTTGTCAGACTCCTCTTTGAAATGCATCTTAAAAGAAGATACACTAAATACGAAGAAAGAACTGCCCGTATGGAAATCAATTCGGAGATGGTGCGATTATAAGTTAACAGAGCGTTTGCCTTACATTCCTACTCTCTTACAATGCGTAAGACTGGCTGTAATGCCCATTAAGGATTTTCAAGAAGTAATAGATGATGATAAAGTTAAAAACTACGAATGCGGAGTTTTCACCTCTTTGGTCGCCAAATATATATTGGGAAAAGAAATTAAGTTTCTAAGTGCTTCAGAATTCCAGAAAGTGGAACCGCTGTTTATTCCCAGACTCCCTCACGACGTCCTCTTTTGTCTGGGAGGATGGAGTTTGAGTGGGCCAACTAACTTGCTGGAAGTGTACGACTGCCGCATCGATAACTGGAAACTTGTAAGTTTTCTTATTCTTTCCTTACATTTTTGTACATTTGGCTATAATTTAATTGGTATTTCATTTTTAAATCAGCCGTCGCACTTAACCGACAAAACTGGTAAACTTAATCGCACAATCTATAATGTGCAAATTTCAAATATCGAAAAAGGTTTAACAGGGTCACTTTAATAAAGAAGTACCGTTTAATTTTAACTTAGAAATAATTTTATTACTCACTAATCAGTAAATTAATAACTTAAGGCTTTTTGTAACAAGGATTTTGTAATGAACCAGAAACTATTTCCCAATCTGCAGTAGTGAATAAGTCTCTTTCTCTTTTACGAGATATATTGATAATACCATTTCGTGCAGCCGGTAAACACCATTTCATTTGTTTATGGAAAAAATCAAATTTAGATATTTTTTACGAAAAACTTTCATTAAAGCTTAAGACAGAAAACGCATCTTACATGGATCTTTCAGCATGTTGTTACGAATTTTGTACGTATGTAAATAATTTTAGTGAAGTTATGTCTGCAGTTGTAGTATTGTATTTTTGCGTACTGTAAAATGGAAATCTAAAGAAACGATGCTCTGCCGGAAAAATAAGAATATAGGGGCAAGTCTATTTAATATCGTCAAACTGGGAATAGTTTTGTCCCCAAATTTGACTAGAAATCGGCAAAGGTCGCCAAAGCGGGCGATATTTTGGTCCGTCCTTTGTATAACTGTAATAGGTTGGATACACGTTACATATAGGGAGAACCGCGAAAACGCCCATGCAACCAGCCCGTTCGCAAGATTCAATCTTTGGACCTAACTAGTGTTCTGCGTCTTTACCGCTCGGCCGCTGGTGGGCTCTTAACTGTAATAGGTATTGATTGTAATTGGATAATGCAATTGATCACTAAATGCAATTATAACCGTATCCGTATGTAACTTTAACCGTATATACTTTGGAGTAATTTCGAGAAAAGAAATTTACCAGCTATTTCTTGGCGGCTGGGTGAAAACTATATAAGACCGGATAGAACATGTGCTCTCACATGTTAGTTCAGAGCTGAATTCGGAGTATTAAGAAATCCGTGAGAGCTTCGATTTTACGATGCGCTTTACGCTGCGTTGTATTTAACGTATTCTTAGTAGTCTGATGTGTAACTACTGATTCGCTGTGATACTGTCAAGAGCTGTGCGACTTTTCTTTGTTCCAGAATTGTGAAGCGTTTCTTGTGGTAAAATAAATTTTATCAAGCATCTTCGGTTCTGTGTACATTTAATCTATTACCAACCCGAACGCATGCAGCATTATTCTTTTTACTTACTTTTACAACAGCTTATTTTGAGTGTGTTATAAAATATTAAAGTGATGGAAATCCATTTCTTCGCGCGAATAAATAAACTTAAGTTTGATTTCTTCCGAAACCCTGCTATTTTTTTTTTTATTATTATTATTTTATTTTAAAATTTGAATATCAGTCAGAACGCACTTTTGCGGAGTTTGCTGTTATTTTGGAAAATAGAATATCACGTATGATAATCACAAAACGTTCATTGATAAAGAGATAAAAGGAAGCAAATGAAGATATAGTAAGTTTCACAAAGTAAATTTTCTTATTTTTTAATAAAGACAGGATATGACGTAAGTAGATTACTTTATGCATAAGATATAGAATATGCACAGTTTGGAATTGAAGAACTCAGAAGGGAAAATTTTATTATAATTAGCAATAAATTCTTTATCAGCAGTTTCAAATATTCAAATGAATTAAAAATAACATGAACCATTTTTCATTTTCAGCAAAGAACAAAAGTTTTCTTGCTACTTATAATCTCCGCACTAAATAAAAACGGAACGAATTTTTCAGATTTCTAGCATTTCTCAAAAGAATATTAATTACGGATATATCTCCGAATTTCACATATAAAGCTGCAGAATATTTTGTGCTTAATTTTCAAAAGTGTTACCCTCCATATTTTCCTCCTAGCTCATTAGCGCCAGGTTCTGAAAATTTAAAATATATTCTCGTGATTTCCTATTTCTTCAATAAGTTTAAAGTATGAACTCCGATAAATTTTAGAATGAATTCGTCCAAGTGGTTTTTTTTTCATATTACTAACAATGACAAACCCTTACAAGAGTTTCAATCCCGTAAAGATCATGCCGAACCTTTTCAATGTTAGCCTAATACAAGAAGTGACCCATCACAGCGAAGAAAACACTAATTAACATTCAGTCTGATTTCGTCAAATCAGCCCTTTCTAATTACTTATGTATGATCTGAGGCCTAAAGAGAGAAAAGAGACGATAATAAGAAAGGATGAAATTTAAGTTGCAGGGAAGTAGGAATGGAGATATCAAATTAGATATTGAAATGTTATTATTGTATGCATTCTTTTCGGAATGTAGGTTTCTTTTAAAGAAATAATACTAAGATAGTTATAACTTATCCATGACTAATTTTCTTTATAATGTTCTTGCTGTAACCGCGTCCTTCTTAAATTAAACTATTCGCATAATTTTCCGATCTCGATTTCAGACGATAAAATCAGTAAAAAAAAATTAAAAAAAAGGAGAAAAAATGCCAAAGGAAATATTGCATATATTATCAACTGAATTTCTACTTTAGGAGAACAATATAAAATATTAGATTAATAATTTTTCTTAAACAAATAAATTTATGGACTTTCAGTGCTAAAATTCTTCTCATAAAACTGTTTTTCTTATCTTGAAAAACTTTAATAACTGTTCGAAGTGTATACCTAGAGACAGCCTGTAGCCAGTTTTCGAAAACTCAATAAATCAATAACACCACTGTTGGTTTATTTACGTTTAGTTAATTATGGCAAAGCCAACTAGAGCTATTTTCATAAGGGTAGGGATGCCTTCGTGGAGAATTTTCTAAGGGAAATTGACTCGTATATATATTACTTATGGGGAAAAACCACGAAAGCGCCCATGCAGCCCTATAACTCCGTAACTGCTCGTTTAAGCATACTGAAACTTTGAAACCTTTGAGCTGCCAATATAAGACTTAAGCAGCCAATATGAGATCAAGAGCATGTTTGCGTTCGTAAATTAAAATTCATTTTTAGAGAAATTTAAAAAAAATATTTTATTTCAGAAATCAATAGTAATCTTTTTTTTTTATCCTTAAATTTTTTTGCAATTTTATGTGGCAATCGTACACTCAAAAACCTCTCATATAGTAGGATGTTTATTGCACAACTACTTCTTCCAATTTCTGCAATATTTAGACGTCATGTGTATTATCACCATAATACTGAGAATCGGAATCTCATCAAATGATAAGATTCTGCTTAAATTCCCCGAAATTACCCTTCCTCCTGTCTTCATTCAACGTGGTTTGTTAAAAGGAAGCTCTTATACTCACCATTTATTTCTAGATAATTTAAATAGCTAAGTAATTAATAAACCCTCAAAATATTGCGAAGTATAGTATTTTTATTTTATTTTATTTCTTTTCCAGTGGTAGAAAACTAATTTTCTCATTTTGTACTTTTCATTTTTTACGTGCCTTGCGTCAACTGAAGTGTAAACACTATAAATTATTGCAGTTATCTGCATAAAAGCTGATATTAACAAAAAAAAAAATAAATAAATAAATAAAAAACATTAAAATTATATTTTAATACTTTTTTATTTACTACTGTTAAACTGCCATCAGAACGATAATCATTTTACAAGCTTGAGACAATTAGCGAATAGACAAAAACAAATATATACGAGTATAAACTAGAAAGCCCGGCGGTCATACGAAATGACCGCTGTTCTAGATAGTATAAATTGTAATTAAAATGATTTGTGCAAAGGTGTCTGCTAATTCAAACTGAATTACCCAAGCCAGGAGGCGAGGACGCCCCTTTGCTTACTGCCCCACGGGGTTTTCCCCTTCTACTTGCTTAATTGCTTAAAGTAGAATGCAATGAAGGAAACCACTGGCGTTACATTTCTTAAAAGCCACCGCTAACTCAATAAATAAAGGTGATTTAAATAATAAAATGTTAATTTACATGTCAAAGATCTTTTTGTACACAACATTTCTTGTATAGATCTTTCCATCATTTTAAACCCGCCTTGCAGAGTACCATCAATTATTTTTAATTTTACGTCCGTTCTTTCACGAACTCTTGAGCAGGCAACATAAAGTTGACTGTGTCCAACTGCAGGCTTAGGTAAAATAATGCTAACACGCTTAAGCGTTTGGCCCTGACACTTATTAATAGTCATAGCAAAGGCAAGTTTTACAGGATATTGTCTACGTCTCAATTGAAACGGCAACCCTGTGTCGTGGCAACTTCCCCCCCCCCCATTGGCTAGTACAGTTACTTAAGCAACTAATAAACTATCGGCGACAAACAGACACTTAAGCCACATATAATAAAGATATTTATTTATTTCATTTTATTTGTTTTTTGATCGTTGCCGGTTGCATATTTCCGAATTCTATTAAGTATGGATGATAAATTTATTTATTAAATGTTAAATGCACGTGCTCTTGTATTTTTAATTTTTCCGACTTAGCTTTCTCATAATATTCGTCACGCGCTGCACTACACGGGCAATAAAACAATTTACAGTAACGCAAGCAACCAATAAACAATCGGAGACAAACACTTGTTATATTTCTACACAATCACTAACAATTCATAAGGATCGCGTTTCGTCTTTTCGCAATTCTGAACAAAATCCCTAATCCAGTTTTAAATTTGCTAATCAGTGTTATAAACTATTACAATTTAAATCTTTAATAACTTCAAAAATATGAAAAAAATTCCCCGATGCTATACTAGATAAATAATTTCAAAAAATTCTAAACTCAAAAATAAGAAGAAACAAAATAAAAATTAAGAATCAAATAAAATAATAGAGACATACGAATAAAAGTCTTATAAACAGTGCACATTAATGACGACAATTTATTGTAAATTTTACTAATACTTTACCCTAACCTAATTTCAAAATGGCGGTGTTCACAGCAACATGTTTAATGCTGCTA